AAAAAAAAAAAAAAAAAAAAAAAAAAAAAAAAAAAGAGGGTTAGGATGGTGAATTTTATATTATGTGTATTTTACCACAATAAAATAAAGTGGAAAAAACATAACCAGGGTTCCCAAAATGAACTGATACGATTTTGACCAGAAACAAAGAAACTTGCTTTTTCAGTCTATCTCTGCAACATGTATGGATAAATGTATGGTTTTCTGTTAGACATCTTATAATATTGAAATAGAAAAGGACCCCCATTCTTCTTTTTGAAGAAGGCAGGATATGAAACCCTGGATTGGAAACTACTGATTTGACCACTCAATTGTTCAGCTCCTGGGGAAAGAGGGAGTGTTCATCAAGAAGAAGAATTTTAAAGCAGACTGCTCTGTCAAGAGGGCACATGGCCAAGGTTAAGGGCCTGTGCTCTGGAATCCCACTGCATCCTGGCTTCAAGTTTAACGTTCTGAGCCCCCAGTTTCTCATCTGTAAACGGAGTGGTAGTGATAGCCCATGGAAGCTCTTGGGATAGCACCTGGCATTAATGAGCTAGAATTTGTTGAGTGCTTATTAAACTTCATGGTTGTGCATTTATATCAAACAATAGGGATAATACAGAGTTTTGAGGCTCACTGGGTGGCACAAATGAAATTGAACCGGGTAGGCACTCAACTCATGGTGAGCTTCCTCCTCTTCTTGCCTTTCCAGTATTGAGTAGTGGGGGGTACCCCCCGTAAGTGAGGACCCCCCTTCTTCTTGATGGACACCCAGTGGCACTTCTCTTATCATCTTTACAAACTGCAGGTGTATGAAGTGATGCTTCCTGACGTTCCCTAAGTGGCTTCAGGGACATTGTGGTAGGTGATATCAAAAGCTGCCTAGCTCTCAGCATGTTGAAGTGACTCTCAGATATGGTGTGGAGAAAGCTGGCCAGTGAGGTGTCTGCTTCAAAAGCTTGTCAGTAGCAATTCTGAGCTACCCAGATCTTTGGGTTTCTTTGTTTAGTGATGGAGCTGATTTTTCCTTGTGATGACCTCAGGTCTCTGAAATAAGATATTTATTTGTATTTCCTACTATATAGTAAAAATGATAAAAATCATTTGTCCCTCCCTATTATAGTGGAAGAACCTCTTCTGTGTGTGACAGGGCTAATACTGGCTTGGCCCACCGTTAACCTGGAAGGAGGCTGCCCGGATGGGGAGCAGGGTGCCGATGCTGCTTTGGATTGTGACTCTTTGAGGTCATGGATGTCAAAGTCTTTAGCCATCTGCGGCTTGCCCAGAGCAATGGGGCTCAAAGAATCACCTAGGAGCTGGCTAGAGCCACTAGAACACCCCATTTAAGTACGTGTTCTTTGTCCTCTCCTGGCAACTGTGTGACTCAAATACTACTCAAAGTATTAATTCTCTGTAATATATACCCTTGCCTGGGGTGTTATTATTGCTGAATTGTTCATGTTGATCTTCAGAGGGCAGAACCCCAAGGAATATCTATGGGAACAAAGGCTGTGCTTTGGAAGAAGAAGATCTGTTAAATTCCTTTTAGTTACTAAGGATGCCTCACATGATCCACCCATTTGATCCACAATCTCTTTTTTTCTCCCCAGCACTGGCTTGAGCCTAACAAGTCCATCTCCAAGCAAATGAAATGTAAGTGTCAATCTGTGGCTTCACTTTTGCTCTGAAATGTCCAAAGATAGATTCTGTTGCTTGACAAAGTTTCTCCTGCCATAGGGGAAATGGATGGAGTAGATCTGTGGGTGGGCGGAGGTTTCTCCCTCCTGGTGAGAACTGTGTACCATCTCCTTTCTTATTTGCTGGCCTCTGGCCTCCTTGTAGTCACTATTTCTGCAGCTGCCTGTGTCTTTCCTCCTTCCCACCATCTCAGCCTCATAGTTCGTATTTGAACAGGTGCATTGGAATTAGGTGATTAAATATCTGTTACACACAATCATCAGGTACCTCGTACCTTTTGATTGTGAGGGTTGTTAGTAAGTGGTTCAGGGTGGGGAGTTGAGAGGAGCAGGTGTATTCTGAAACTAAAATCTTGGTAGTATAACATTACTGAAGATTGCATTATTTTTGTCCAATTCTTGAACTCTCCAAAATAAAATTTTTTTTTCTGGGTCATTTTTCTCAAGCTCTGGTATTCTGAACTGCCTTTAAAATTTTTAAGTTTAGAAATTTTTTAATGGTGAGCTCTTGGAAAAGTCAGCCTGGGAGACATCACTGAAATATCTGATCATCCACTTGGGGTGATGTGAAGAGGGTGTTGACTGGTGGGCCTGGTGCCACAATATTTTGTCCTGGCCGCCTGTGCTGGGCTGGAGTCAACCTGCTTTTATTTATGGGTTGTAGAAGAGCTTCTGAACTGCACCTTGGAAGTTAACTGCCTGCCCTGGAATCCATTTATCCCTCCATGCCGACTTTCCTAAGGCTCTGAAATGTAGGCAATAAATCAATTTCACATTGGAGACCAGGTTAACTCATATTATGTCACTTGTCATCATTCAAGGGATTCTTTCATTTTTCAAATATGAAGAAATTATTCTGGGCAGAGTTTTTAAGTGGGAGAAGAAAGAAACTGAACATGGCAAACCAGCAACCAATTTATCTATTCCTTAAACTTACCTTTTCCCCTCTCACCCTCTCCCTCTCTCATTCTCCCCTCACCCTTTCCTCTGTCCCTTCTGATTCCTTCCCTTCCCTCTAACACCTTAAGAGCAAACTCTGCCTAGTGCAGGAAAGACGGCAGGTTGTTCTGGAGCAAGTGGACACCTGTGGGTAGCTGCTGGGAGCCACGGGTGCTGCAGGGCCTGGATAGGAAAGCTGTATGTGGTGAAAACAGGGCAGCAGCGGGCACAGAAGGTCCAGAGGAGTCCAGCTGTCAGAGTGAGGCTGGAGTAGAGTCGGGACAAGCGTCCTGGGAGAGGGAGTAGTTCTGAGGTATCAGGAGGCTGTGTATAGAATGATATGTAGGATACTGAGAATGAATCAACATGCCTGAGAAAAAATAGCTGATGCTTAGCTTTTATCCCTTAACTATGAAGTTTTGATAATTTTATTTAAAAATATTTAGACAAATTTCCAGTAAACTTATTTATAGTAAATGGTTCTTTGATTTTGGTCCTTAAATGGCATGAAGTATTTTCCTTAGGCCACAAACATTTTTGAAATATAAATTTATCTCTGTAGTCAGAAAAAAAATTAAAATTGGTGAAGAATTTGCTGCCCAAGAGCTTTCCCTCTCTTCTAAATAAACCTGAACAGCCAGCTGAAAATTTATGTTTTATAAAAATGGTTTAAAGATTGACATTTGACTACTGGCCAATTTCAATTTAATGACAAATGGAATCTGAATCTGGAAAAAAGAACTGGGTAAAATTCAATTTCTGAACCATACAGGGTGACTCACTAATTCTAGGAATTGGCAAGGGTCTTACCCATCCTTCTGCTCCTGTGCTGCATTTTTAAGGACATTAGTGAGCAAGAAATCATGTGATTTTTCTCAAGATCACAAATCTAGTTTTTGTTGTTGTTCTTACATGGATATCCTGGAAATACTAACTTCACTTATAAATTAGAAAAAATTTTAATCTAGGGCTTATATATTATTAACCCAGAGAAACTGGGTCCAACCCCTGGGACTCATCTGTGAATTTATCAAAAGGATCTGGTTGCAAGACCCCAGGCTACTTTCTCTGCGTATGGGATGACTTTTAGATTCAGAAATCCCTGTGTAGGCAAAGAGGGCATAATGCCTTGGAGAGAAGGTTTCTCCCATTTCCGTCTCAGTCACTGGTGATGACCCTGTGCAGGTCCTTTGACTATGGGTGTTCCAGGAATTGTGTTTCCGAGGGTTAGCTGAAGGTCACCTGTCTTGATTAACAAATCCTGTATAGGAGTATTCTTATTTCTTATTAGTATTTAAAAAATACTATATTTTGATTTTTCCTTTTATTTGGTTTTTCCAGTTTCATTGAGATGTAATTGACATAACACCGAGTAAGCATAAGATGTACAACATAATGATTTGGTATATGTATGTATTTTCAAAATGATCACCCTAGTAAGATTAGTTAGCATCCATCACCTTACACCGATACCTACACCTCACATTATTAGAATAGTTTTTAAATACTATATCTGTGGTTTTTTTCCTAAAAGTTCACAAAAGTTTAAAATGAAAACCAAAACTATTTCCCTTCTCTTATCCCTTATATCTCTGAGCCCATGCCAAGAAAATAACTATTGTTAACAAAATTTTATATACTCTTCTGTTTTTTTTAAATGTGTACATAAGGCCCCTAACATAGATAAGGTCTTTTATAAATAAATGAGATCAATCTTTATATATTATTCTTCACCTTGTTATTTCTGTTAATAATTTGAAGTTTTGTGACCAGTAATTGATGGTCTCATTTTAAAAATGGCTTTCTGATAATTATATGCATGTATGCAGTTTATTTATTAGTAGACATTAAGATAGTTTATAGTGTTTTGCTATTATAAATTATGCTGCAATAAACATGTTTGTATGTACAGTCTTGCATCTTACATAAGTATTTCTATACTAGAAATTCTTAGAAGTGGAATTGTTGGGTCAAAATGTATATAGTTTACCTTTCCTTAGTGATAAGTATCCATCCAAAGAGATTATAGTAATTTACTCCCGCTAATATATTACATGAGAGTGCTTGTTTTCCCAAAATCTTCTTGAAAATAGGTATAATCACACCTACTCTTGTGGAGACTTTAAATTTGTAAAGGAAGAGAAATATTTAATTAAAAAACTAAATAATTAGACAGTGATTTGATTGCGTGTAAATTCTAAAGTTGGGAAACTTCTTAAACCAGAGTCTTATTTCTTCTCTGAACATAGGAGTCACTTTTAAATTTTATTTTTTCCAATGAACACATGACAAAATTGACTTTATTTTGGTGTATAGGTCTGTGAATTTTAACATACGGATTTGTGAACCCTCCACTACAGTCAGGATACAGAGCAGGTCCTCATCCCCAAACCTCCCTCATGCTGCCCTTTTGTGGTGACCACACTCACTCCCCCAGCCGTTAACAACCCCTGGTCTGTTCTCCATCAGTGTGGTTTGTGTCTTATCAGTGGAATCATATAGCATGTCATCATCAAGACCAACTTCTTTAACTCAGTGTTTGTAACTCTGGGATTCATATAAGTCGCTGCATTTGTTAATATATGATATAGAAAATCAGTGATAATAAATGTTGGTCTTTGAAAATGCCAAGAAAATGATGAACCTCTAGCAAGACTGGTAAGGAAGAACAGAAGACACAAATATCAGGGATGAAAGGTGATATCACTACAGACCCACAGAACAACTCTAGGCATGTAAGTTTGACAGCTGAGATGAAATGGACTCATTCCTCAAAAATTACGAATTACCAAAACTTACCCAATATGAAATACATAATTTGAGTAGTTTTTATCATTTTTAAAGAAATTAGTTTAAAAAACTTCCAGAAAAGGAATCTCTAGCCCACTTGCTTATCACTGCTATTACTGCGAGAAACTCCTTTCCTGCTGCTCAAGCCTTAACTAGGAGCGAGAGCCTTCTCTGTCCATCCTGATGCCCTTCCAGGCATCCCTGAGTTCTGTCCAGGAGTTACTAGTGGGTAAAATGTGGACAGCCCAACACCAGTTCAGTGGTCCTTTGAAAATCTCATCATCTCTTCTAGTCTGCCTGCTACTCTTTGCTTTCCAGAGTCCTTAAGTAGCTGCTGCACAGATTCTGTCTAGGTTTTATAGCTGCATTTGTTGAGAAAGACCTGGTGGGGTGCAATGAGTTGATCCTTTCCTGGAGCTAGAATCTTAAAATCAAAGTTTGTATCATTTCTTATCTACTAGGTAACAATACAGGCAGGCTACATGATCTGGGCAGCATTGAGGGAAATGTCTTTTTCATTTCCCTTTTCTATCATTGCATAGTCACAAATGTGGACTGAACTGTTGATATTTTCCTTTAAAGAGTATTCAGGTAGTAGGTTGTCTGCAAACAAAGTGTTAAATGAAATGGCATAGTTTGGGTGTTTGGTTTTCAGAGGCCTTACTTTCCATGTAGGAACGTTACTAGGCAACACAACAGTGACAGTCCTCACGTACAACCTATATGGTTTAGCCTTGTCCCCATGACTAGAATGTAGTTCAGTGTGTGCACCTGTAATGGCACCACCAAGAGGACAAAAATTACACGTCTTACAGGATCTATGTGACCACATGAATTAACATGAAATGTTTTAAAATAGTTCTATGCTATGACTCAGATGTGCAGAGATGTAACATTATTTCTCCATGACTGAATTCAACTTGGTGTGAACCTCTATTCCCTCTGGGGGCAGAAAATTTAGTCTTGCCATTTTAGGGTAATTTGGGATCTGCCGGTTTAGAATTTGATCTCTTTCAGCAAATTTTTCAGTGAACTCATAATTTAAATGTAGTCACTTGAAAATGCATACCCTATATTGGGACATTTTTCCTGTATCAGGAGCTTTTCTTCCTTCCTTATACCGAGAATGGCACCATGAGACAAGGGAAGGTTACATACCATCGTGGCAGTGAGGGTGACATTGCCCTTGTGCACAATCCTGAGCCCTCCCCTTAAGTGATTTGGCCT